TCTCTCTCTCTCTCTCTCGAGAGCCACAACTAGCTGCCGATCGGGTTCTTATACTTGTTACTAAACTAAATGCATTTGCCCCTATGCACACATAGCCGCACCTCATCGGTAGCGCGTAGTCCGAGGCAAATATCTTCAATAATAGCGAAAACGGAGTCTCGTGGCCCGCAGAGTGTATCCATGATTTCAGCATTATCTGTCCACACGAGGGTTTCCGTTGGAATGCCTTCGCTCTTGTAGAGCTTCGTTTCGTTCTCAAATATGATGTCGATGAAGTGCTTTTGCAGGTGTTCGTTGGTGATGTTGATCAGCAGCTGTTCCAGGGAGTTATGTTCAAAAACTTCAAAGCCAAAGATATCCAGCATTCCCATAAATACGTTGAATCCTGAGGGAGGTGCTATTGCTTTATTCAAAAATTGTACAAGCCAGCCGAAGAGCCGATCATACACGTGCTTAGCGACAGATTTTATCATCATGTCTGCCTCTCTGTGCGTTCGCGGCCCCTCAAGGAGTTGATTCCCTACTTTCGTTTGTTTCCTAAGAATGTTGTGAGCCAATGCCTCTGCATCTACAAACAAAAGAGAAGCAGCTTCCTTCAATATACCCAGCGACTCGCCCGTGGCATGCGCTGCATCTGGGACTCCTTGTTTTTCTTGTGCTGTTATTTTAGTGTTTCCAATGAGAAGAACACCGGATAATATCGAAAATACTGCGGATTCGTCTTCTGCAGGAAGGCCCATAGACACAAAGGATTGCCTAAGTTCTTGAAACTCTTGTCTATCATCTATGCCTTCGATGTCGAAGCAGCCGCCGCTGCGAGCTGTTAGAAAGACGTATTGGTTGATGGGTCTGAGGTGGTATTTGCTGATCATTTCTTGATCAGCTCCTTTCAAGAGTTGATACAGCACGTGAAATGAACGTTCGCCCGGCTCCTGAGAGACTAAACGCACCTTCTCCAGAAGAAAGTTTGTGATAGCGCCGTGTTTAATGCCTGCATCGCTGGAGATAGAAAGCTGCATGAATCTACCAAAGCGGCTCGAGTTGTTGTTTCGAATTGTTTTTGCATTCCCGAAAGCTTCTAAAAGAGGATTGCCTGCCATTATGGCCTCTTGAATTCTGTTTGTTCCTTTGCTTGCACCAGCGAAGTACCTCATTACTTGTTTCGTTGCTTCTGTCTTCCCGGCTCCTGACTCCCCCGAAACAATGATAGTTTGGCTCCTGTTATAATCTTCTAAATTCGACAAAGCAGCCCTCGCTACTCTGAACACATGCGGCTCTGTCTGTGCAAGACTGGGGGCGTTGCGGTAGTAATCCATCCACTCCTTTGTGGCGTTTCCGAGGTCTTGAAAGGGGTTGATTGCGACTAAAAGAGGATCTGCTGTAGTATACATCTTCCCGGCGAGATACCTCGTTTTAAGCATCGAAAGAACGCATGCAACGTTCTTGTGGCTTAGCAAGCCGATGTCAGACGCTGCTAATTCATCTTCTTCTGTATTTGCATTCAACACGCAATCTGGATCCACCTCAAACTTCTCTCTTGAAGGAGGATCCAACTGCTCCAGCACATACTTCTCACGAGTTGAACCCGGCCGAATTACACACAAGGAAAACAACAAAGAAGGATTGGCTATCACCGCAGGGCTTTTGGAAGTCCAGCATCGCAGAGCCTATAAAACAGCAGAACAAGCGAGGAAAGGCATATCAAAGAATGAAGAATTATAAATAGGATTATGTTTATAAGGGGGGTTGTGCTGGCGTATCGAAGATCTGCAAGAACCCCCCGCCAACTACAAAAGGAAAAGAAGAAGCGCCCTTCATATACCGGTATTCCCCAAGCATGCATGGCAGAAGAATGGTAATAAATATTGGCATTTGCATGCATCCACACATGCATGCATGCAGATGCGTTGACTTTATTCATTTACCTGTTGGCGATCCGTTCCGAGTCCCACAGGAATGACGGCAGACTGACGGCGGAAATATTTTTCATGGGGGGCATCTACCGCGGCCTTGCTTCCCTGTTGTTTGCTCGCCATCTTCTCTGGTGTCTTCTCCTGCTGCTGGGTTACTTGGTTCGTTACTCTGAAGGGTTAAAGTAGTTCGTCAGTAAATCGAGAGAAGTAGCAGCCGCATTCAGAGAGAGTGGTCGCTGGAGAAGATGCAGAGGTACATAGGGTGAGGTGCGGCCAAATACCGCGACAGAAATGACTAAAAAAGGAGAGTTCTGAGGTATTTTTAGAGGTGTACTTTGATGTGTGAAGGCAGGTGAACAACGAGCTGAGATCAACAACCGAAATTCAAGTCGCACAGTCCAGCAGCATCCGGCGTTCCTGCATTCTGAGGAGAAAAGAGGAAGAATATCCGCAAATGAGGGGGTAAATTGGACGAAGTTGTTAAATAAATGTCTAATTTTCGTTTGCTTTCATCCAGTTATCATCTGTTGCGCAGGTTGAAACGCCGTCTGCCGCTTCCGATTGCAGATCTCAGCAAGCCGTTCATCTTTCTTGAGGAGCGGCGGCTTTGAATGCGTCGGCGCTCTTTGTTTAAACCTTTCTATGAAAACAAAAGAATATGAAAAGTAGATGAATTTTAACATACCTATGCACACCCGCAAAACTTAACACCCATCATGAACTCCGTAGTGTCAGGCAGCCCTGCATGCCCAGGGTGTCGAGCTCATTCTGGTCTCCGATGAATTTGCAGCTTTGATTCTTCTTAAGAAGAGAGAAAAAGGCAGGAAATAAACAAAAATATACCTTTTTTGAAGGTCATTAAGGAAAAAAGACGAAGGGGGAGTCATGAAACGCAACTCATATCCTCTGTTCCACTGGTGCGTTCAGTCGATACAGACGACGGAGCTCTTGCAGGCCTCGATTCTTTTCTGAACCTTAATATACCTCTTCTCTCTGTTTTAATTCAGATGCTTTTAGTGTAATATTAACAATTGTTTGTGCAAACAAACATGTAAATGCCCATAGAAGTACATACGTCCAGCCCATTGGTCACACACGGGCTGCTCCTTCTCTGATTTCGCAAGCAAACACGGTTTTAAATTCT